TATATAAAAATTTTCACTGTATCATTAGCATGATAGATGTGACAGGGAGGTATATCTAAATTAATGTACTTGGAGTCTTGGACCCACATTCACGTGTCGGCATAGGAATCCAGGTACAACGCGAAATTCCCACTCCACCTTCCTCGGTTCAACCAAAAATTTAGCAACGTCAATATGTTACTATCTGTCTTTACACTTACATTTTGTCATTTTGTCATAGTCATACATTTTAGGCTTTAGCAACGCTATTTTAAAAGTTATTGGCTAATTTTTTTTTTTATCATTTAACTCCATTTTATTTTCTTCCCCTTATTTTCTCTGCAATTTCTGTTCACCCTGGATCATTGTAGAGTATCAAAAGATCAGTAAGGTTTGGAAAATAATGATTTCTTTCAAAGAGAGAAAACCGTCAACAAGGCATAAGAGGGGAGATTTAACTTAAAAAATTAGAAAAAGCCAATAATGTTCAACTTTTTTTTATTATAATTTTGACGATAACAAAACTATTATAAAAGAATTAATGAATTTAGAATATTTTAGTTTGTGTAAGTGTCAAAAGCAACTTAAAAGAGATAAAAAAAAAGTTATAAATAATCTAGCATATAATTAATTGAAGGAAGCCAAAGTCAATTGTTGAAGAAGAAATTTATAAAGAGTCAATTTGTAAATTAGATCTTTGAGAAATCATATTCTTTGTAATATTCCTTTTTATGCATTCTTTGTGATTTTCCGAGTAAGTGAAACTCTAAGAAATGATACTTGAGGGTGAGTAAACCCTTTAAGAGAAAAATTAAGATTGATTTATTGGAGATCTTTGTAAAGAGAAGTGTTTGAGTGAAAAAAACTTTGAGAGAAACTAAAGGAGCTTTATTGGGGATCTTTGTAAAGAGGACTGCTTGAGCAAAAAACATTTTGTAAAAAGATAAATAACTCCTTTAAACTACTTTTAAACACCAATGGAGAGCCTAGAGGAAATTCTTAATGAGGAGTGAAGTTAAGGTTGAAAATTAGGTGTTTGGGTTGAATCTCTACAATATCAATTGTGTAAGTTCTTCTTCTCTTCTCTATTTATTTTTCATTTGGTGGTTGGGAAAAGAAGAAAAAATTTGAAAATTAAACTCCAATTCAACCCTCCTCTTGGAGTATATGAGTTAA